GCAAATAGAGGTCTCAAAAGCTTTACCTTATCCATATGAATAAGGCTAGGTTTACTCAGATGATGCACCTCTTTCTCAGTCCTATTTTGAGAGCCTTCTAATCTAACCAGACTATTCATAAAGTTGTGTGGTAATGTATCAAACAGTGTTTCTTTGCTATTCATAAGGTTTTCCCTGGCCAATTCTTTGTGAAGTGGACAGCCTCTTGCTTCTTCCTAGTCTGTCTCACTCTGTAAGCTGGGCTGATACCTGTGCACTATGTGCATCCCGCTGGGTGTGAAACACCAGTGGCAGCCTCAAAAGCTCACATCAACACGTCACCACAGTAGGACAAACCAACAGACAAGTGTGTCTCACTGCTACCAGAGTTAGATAGGTAGAGACAAGTATTTATTTGGGTGAAGAGAAGGGCAATGTACCAAATGTGAGTGATCAACATGGTGGCACTGAGGAAGAGAAAGACATAGAGAGGTACATGGGACAGACAACAAAGTTGAACCTTTTTGAACATACAGTACTGTGTTGTCAGTGAAGGGAAACATGGATATATGGGTGGATAGATGGGTGGACAGGCAGAACTGTTAGTTATGCCTAGCAGAGGGAAGTGTGCCCAAGACCATGTATAGAATTGTCAGGCACTGTTTCTACAAGTGTATTGCTATGTTCTGTAATGATTCCCATTTGTATAGTAGAGCTGACAAGGGACAAGCTTGTAGTTACTTCTTGGGCACAGTCAGCTACTCAGAGGGAGTGAGTAGTTGAACCTGTGGTCTCAGGACTATAGTTGCAGGGGACATCAAGCTCAACTGGCATAATATATTACACAAAACACTGTTCCACCTCCTACTTTTGTGAGTAGCAACTGTGATCTTAAAAGCTAGCAAGCACCCATCTAGATGCAATGTTGGGTCTCTCCTCATCCAGAGCAAAGAAGAATGAAGAAAACCAAAGATTTATGGAAACAATTAGTTCATGCGACTTGTACACCATGTGATCCTCAGCCTATACAACTATGAGACCAGAAGAACTGGATGGTGCCTGGCTACCACTGTCAACCACTCAGAGGGGGATCTATGTGGGAGATTCTGGATAGAATGGGAGAACAATTTGGAACAAAACTCAAAATCATTTGAAAAAAAAAGGGGGGGACCAGGTTTTTGGTCTGATAGAGGCTGGTGGTACACTGAGACTGTGGCCCCTGGCTGATCTTCAGGTCTGGAATTGAACCCATTCCTGTGGCTTCCAGCCAAACAAAAGACAGGCACATGAGGTGAACATTTACACTAGGAAAATACACTCCTTGGAGAGAACAATCATGGGAAAACTGAAGGGCTGTGCATGCATAGGGACATAGCTCAGGGGGCAGGAGTGCATGGAGGGAAGGACACAGGGAAGAGGTAACTATGGGGAGGAAGTGGGAGGGGAGTTGTTGCATTGTAGTAGAACGTAGTCAATATCATGAGACAAAGTATGTGTGAGCTGCTGTATGGTAAGTGAGTTTACTCTGTAAACTTTCACCCAAATCACAATAAATAAATAAATCACTTTACTGCTTAAACCCTTGTGACGAGTATTTGGACCTGCAGGCTTGATGTCTCAGAGGACATCAAGCTCAATTGCCATAACATACTATACAAAAACAAAAAATACTACACAGAAACATTGTTCTACATCCTAATTCAATGAGTAGCCACTGGGGTCTTAAAAGCTTGCAAGCAGCCATCTAGATGCAATGATGGGTCTCTCTTCATATAGAGCAAAGAAGAATGAGGAAAACCAAAGATTCATGGAAACAATTAGTCCAGGCGACTGGTAGACCATGCGATCCTCAGTCTATACGACTATGAGACCAGAAGAACTGGATGGTGCTGGCTACCACTTTCAACCACTCAGAGGGGGACCTATGTAGGAGATCCTGGATAGAGTGGGAGAACAATGTGGAACAAAACTCAAAATCATTTGGAAAAAAAAAAAAATTAAAAAGGGACCAGGTAGAGCCTGATGGAACCACTGAGACTATGGCCCCTGCCTGCTCTTCAGGTCTGGAATTGAACCCATTCCTGTGGCTTCCAGATAAGTCTAGACTTACCACATTGTCTCCTCACATACTTTTGTTCACAGTCCAGCATGGCAGGAATTTCATTAAAGAATTCTCACAGTACAGATTTCTTTCTGCTTTCTTAAAGAAACTTCTAAAGGTCAAAATGATAAGAGGTGACAAATTGGCCTGGCAGACAAGGGAAGCATATTCAAGAGGTAATGAGGACTATCAAGAACAGGCACAAAAGCCGCTGCTGATCTTTCAACCTCTCAGTTGTAATGAGATTCATACAACCCCTCTAGTCATTCCCCACCAATCTGTCCATTATGTACTTTATAGGTTGACAGCTAAAGCTCTAATTGCTATACTCAAGAAAGCAAAGACCTACTTTGTTATGTTTGGCTTAAATGGGTAAGAAAACTATTCTCTGATTCTTGAAGAATTTTCATCTGCTTACCTGAAGCTGCTGCTTTTCTTGAAGAAGCCAGTCTCGCCTAGTGATTGACACATGGAGTCTGTCTTGAGCAGTAGTTTCCAATAGCTTTGATTCTACTCTGAGCATGGGTTGGGTGTTCTCACTGATGGCCCTAAAAATAAAATACCACAGAATTGAAATACTCAGAATTTTAAGAGTAAGAAATTTCCCAAAATGGTCCTGGTTAGTTCTTCATTCTCAGGAGGGTTGTAGGGATGAGGTATTTACATAATGTAAGGTCCTATTTTAATTTAAATGTGTTGGAGATTTTTCCTTTTCTCATAGCCTAATTTCCATTATACTTTAGACTTGCACATCCAAAAAGGTAGTCCCTAACCACAAGTGACTAATGAACACTTAAAATGTGGTTACTCCAAATTAAAATGTGCTGAGTACAAAATACACATATTATAAAGAGTTAGTAATATATATAT